GTTACGGTCTTTTGTCATTATCCCACTGTCCGAGAAGTACTATTAAAATAAGTTGTGAAGACCTGGTAGACAACGCAGAATCATCCTCTTTACATCTCTTCTCCCTAACCCCCTCTCGCCCCTCCGCACAATTGTTAGTGTGTTAGAGAATAAAAACGCTGTCTTGATTAACGCAAGCTAATTCCCACCTTCGCTGACAGGAATTGGTACGTCGGTCCTCGACTGAGTGCTTATTCACTAACTTGCTATACTGTTGTTGGCTAGTTCGTTTTTCGCTTGTTGATCGGTTAGCGATCGGTTTTTGCCTGAAAACGGTAAAAACATTGATCTTGAGGCCATTATAAATGTTTGATTGTTTCTGAGGAGAAACTTACCATGCACCTAATTATTTTTAAAAGTGAAATTCTGGAACGTGCTTCGCCGAACACGAGGCAGCCTTCCAGAGTGACTTACCCAAAAGTAGAGGAAATTGATGGGCGGAAGAAATTTAAAAGATTTAGAAATTTTACAAATCTGCGCTCTTATTTTGCTAAACTCCTCAAATGACGGTTTGGAACACAATTTATTTGCTGACTGATATAAAACGCATATTACCCCTATGTTAAGACAATCAAAACTTTTTGCCCACCCTACTTGGCATTTGTTTTGGATGATATTCGAATGCGCACATCCTGACTCCTGAACGTTACTTATTCACCCTCACGAAACATAAAAGTTTTCGCGCCAGGATTCCGGAAACAAAAAGGTTAGGACAATGAGTGCTACTGCTGCTAGTGAACGATATATAAAGACTGCAAGGAGGCGGGGTCGATCCTGGGTGGAGATAATCCTCAGATGGAATAAAGGAGTGAAAATAAGGCGGGGTTTCGGGAGAAATCAGCGACGAAGAAGAGATTTAGGACAAGATTGGAAGATAAGAAATAATGAGCAGGAACAGACGAGGAAAAATATCTATGGAAGGCAGTGGTATTCCTGGTAAACAAGGTCAGCGGAGCCTGGGTCAGCACACCCTACCGTCGCTGATTATAATGGACAAGAGCCATGACACTGCGGAATCGAGGGGCACCTGTGGCTTCACTTATCCCACAGACAGGCAAAAGCGTCGACATTCCGAAATAGGCAACTGCAGTGAGCATCTTAGAGTGCGGCGATCGGAGAAAAGTTCGGTGGTGAAGAGACGAGCAAGCTGGCAATCGTCCGCTGGAAAATGAAAAAAAACTGATACTGGTTCAGAAGTTGGAGACGCTATTTATAGAGGCCTAGAACGGTTGTTGGTCACAACAAGCGTTGTTGCTATGGTAAACAAACACAAATGAAAACATTCTATCACAAATTTTTTCGAGAAAGGCGGTGTAAACAAAAATTATGGCAAAGACAGTAAACAAAAACAAACTTGATCCAGTACTGTATTATTTGAATTTGAAATATTGTTCTGCTAAGGGGATGACCAGCAAATGAGCACGAAAAAACGAAACGATCTGGTGAATACCAAATTACTGGGGTGAAAAACACACTCATCAGTGAGTTTAATGACACTTCGCTAAACATTTTTCACTTCCCACTTACCAGTGAAAAATGCGCTTACCAGTCCATTTTAGCGAATTGTCATCAAATATGTGGTAATTTTCCCTCCACAAAATGTTGCTAACTTGAAGCTAACTATGCACGCTTGGCTACAAAGCGCAAGAAACCACGCCGACGGCGTTTCAATTCTCAAACGCATATACTGCCAGCTTTTTGTAAATTCCCAGTTTTCGCTGCTTTTTATGCGTTTTGTGCTGTGTAACAGCGTTACAAAACGCATATTGTCACAGGGTTGTCTGT